AAATGTCAGTTTTTCACCCAAATTCATACTTTGAAGTGTTTGATTGCTATTTTTTCCATAAAAAATTTTTCCAACTTTTAAAAATATTTCTAATTTTCATTGTTTTTAAAGAAACATTTTTTTTGAAAGAATAGATTTTTGTTTTCCTCAAAACAAGAAAAACATTTTCTTTTCTAAAATATATACTTTCCATGTCAATCAAACACTCTTAGGCCATGTTTGATAACTTAAATTTTCCATGGAAAATGATTTTCATTTCCACAAATTTGACTTGTTTGATTGACATTTTTTTCTAGGCAAAATATTTTCACTTTACCTCTCCACGCGCCTAATTTCTTGCCAATTGAGGTGGGAAAAGCTTTTCCATGTGTTGCTGCTGTTTTTTTTTTTTTTTTTTGGTCAAAATTTCATACCCAGTTGTTAAAAAAAAAAAAAAATTCACTTTAATGGACAATTTCCATATAAAACAAAGACAAACAAATATTAAACTTTGATACAAAATGACTTTTTTAGGAAACTATTTTTTTTTCTTTTTTGGCAACGGAAATAATTTTATAACTAATTGTGAAAAAATTATCACTTTAATGGACAATTTTCATATAAAATAAAGCCAAACGAACACAAAAATATCCAAAATTTTAAAAAATTTCAAGTGAAAAATTATATCAATTCATCGCAAAATAATTTTAAAACAATTATTTTCCCTGAAATTCATTTTATTTCCACCCGTACAATTAAACGGACCCTTAGAGTAAAAAGTAGAATAGTTTAATCTTAAAAGTCAACATGTCAACTAGCCAATCGATTATAATACACAGAAAATACAATAAATAAAAACTTATTACTTTTTGTATTTGTTCAAGTAAATTATCGAGTCAGATTAGATCAATTATAAGCTTTGCGTGAGAACAATTATGCAGACTCTCTAGGTCTACAATAATAAACTGTTTGTGATAATGATTAACGGACTCTTTAGGTCCACTCACTACTAATTTGATGGTATCGTACGCTTATAATTTTTAATCGTATACTTCAAAACTTCATATATGATAAAGAGATTTATTTAAAAAGGGAAATTCATATTGTCATGGTTTCCATTGGGATGTATGTGCACCTAATCCCACATCAGAAGTGCCGGCATTGTAGTGTTCGTCCGGGATTAGTCAACAGCCAGTGCACAGCCATGTCTTCCGGCTCGGGGAAAACTTAGGGTGTGTGGGCACCTGCTCGACGTTGATGTCGAGTCCGAAAGCGTGGTGGTTTGTCATGGTTTCCATTGGGGTGTATGGGCACCTAATCCCACATCGAAAGTTTCGGCTGAAAATGTGAACTTTATAACCCTTTGAGTACCTTCTCCTTAATAGCTAGCCAAAAATATTACATTTTCAG